GATCAGAGGATCTGAAAAACACAAACATAAAAACCTCATGTTGGTTTGTTTGTAAAATGAAGCAGCAGCTTTTTTAAATCTGAGTTTCAAAAAATCACCCAGGAAGGCATCCACACACTTAACACTGCCAAAAAGCTCAGTGTTTTGATTACTCCAAAAAATAACATGTACATTTCAAAAATACTATCAATGGCCTTCTATGTCAATCAAAAGTCATAGGACGTCAGCTGAGGAATAAATGATTTTCAAATTAAAAGGCTGTATGTGAAGCAGATCAGATTCTCTGATGTAAACATGTAAAAGTGGTGAAACTGAATGTTTGCCTTCTGAACGGTTTGAATTTATTCAAAACTGAAACTGATCTGTGGTCCGATGTTTACCAGAGCTACATCACAGGAACCTGGATAAATTCATAAGTGTCACTGATCCGAGGTCAAACGTTGAGTTTCATCACAGGCACCTGAATAAATTCATGTCTGACCAACACCTTGGCAACAGAGAAGATGAACAAAACAATCTGACTGACAGCCTATCCCTGACAACAGCAACGACAACAACAATAACAACACCAACAGCAATAGTTGTTTTTGTTAATTTCACTGTATCACTTTTGATTGACATAGAAGGCCCTTGACAGTATTTTTGAAACGTGCATGTTATTTTTTGCTTTGGCTGTAACACTGTGGTTGAGCAGAGGATTGTGAGCTCATATTCTTGTTGCATATTATTTGGAATAATCAAAACACTGAGTTTTTGGCAGTGTTAAGTGTGTGGATGCCTAAGTGTGTGGAAAAATTAGCTAAAACGATGATGGAAGATCAGCTGCTATCTGTGTTAGTGGAGCGGGGATTGTTTCACACTGTTAAGGGTGCGTTGTTGCACCAAAAGAGTGAATGAGGTCTCGCTGAAGAGGTGAGATTGAAGGAGATTTAGATAGAGCTGCACAGGCTAGATGTGAAGGAAAAGGAAATAGTCAATAATCTTGAGGTGAGAAAAATAGAGGAAGAGACTAAATGTGTGCTGCGCTTGAAGGAACTAGAACTCAGTGCAGTCGCAGTTCCACGGAGACTACAGTTTTTGTCGGAGCAGGTATCATATTTTGATGTGAGTAAGAACAATTGCTTTATTCTAGTTTTTCGTGAGAAAGATGTGGACAAATACTTAACAGTCTTTGAGTGTGTTGCAACAACTTTAAAGTGGCTTAAAGAGTTTTGGACTCTTCTGCTGCAGTGTGTACTCACTGGTAAAGCTCAGGACATTTACACAGAATTTTCTCCTGAAGACAGCCTTAATTATAAATTAGTCAAAGCGGGTCTGTTGCGGGCATACAAGCTTGTGCCAGCGGCATATTGGAAAAAAAAGTATAAAAAACATGAGTCTCAAACTGATGTCGAATTTGTTGTGAAAAAGATAAATTATTTGACCGCTGTTGTTCACCGAAGCAGGTTAAAACGTTTCAGGATCTTAAATCCTTGGTGCTTATTGAGGAGTTTAAACTGTTTACCTGAGTGTGTTGCCACTTATCTGAATGAACAGAAGGCTGTAAAGTTAAAAATAGTTTGTAGCATGATGGAAGGTAAATTAATTGAGGAATTATTGTCAGTAATGTTACTCATGGTATCTGAGGAGACATATTGTATATCAAGTAGTCTTGTTGTAATTATAGTCCACAATCAGCAGCTACCACGATCAGGATACACCATCATAATCCATCATCATGATCCACTGCCGCCATCAGGATCCACCATCAGCTGTCACCTTGGTCATGGTCCATGATCATAATCACCATTTTGAACACCATCTCTGATTCGCGATCCACCATCATAAACCATGATGTGGCTGCAGCCACGACCCTGAATCTGTGAACGATAAGGCACAGGGGCTCCTGGGAAGAAGTCAAGTCAGTAATATGTATTGATGAGACATTAATTTATAATATGTGATAAGGAGGGAGAAGAGGAAAGAGAAGCTCCATGTGTCATGTGTCCCTTGGCTTTTTAGACCTATAGCAGCAGAACAAAGAGCAGGTCGAAGACAAACCTGGACCAGCTTTAACTATAAGCTTTATCATAAAGGAAGTTTTTAAGCCGACTCTTAAATGTAGAGAGGATGTCTGCCTCCCAAACTGAAACTGGGAGATAATTCCACAGGAGAGGAGCCTGATACTGAAAGCTCTGGTTCCTCCTCTACTTTTCGATACTTTAGGGACAACAAGTAAGCCTGAATTCTGGGAGCCCAGTGCTCTAGTAGGGCGATATGGTACTATGAGCTCTTTAAGGTATGATGGTGCCATATTATTAAGGGCCTTGTAGGTAAGGAGGAGAATTTTAAATTCTATTTAACTGGAAGCCAGTGTAGTGAAGCTAATACTGGAGACATGTGGTCTCTGTTTCTGGTTCTTGTCAGGACATGTGCAGCATTTTGGACAAACTGCAAGGTCTTTAACGACTCAATGCTGGAGCCTGATAACTGTCATGCTGCAATAACTGTCAATTATTTATTTACTTTGCTCATATTATATTCACCATTCTCATATTATTTGCACCTTGTCTTACTCTCTGTGAATGTTGAACTGCTGCTGTGACACAACAATTTCCCAACTGGGATCAATAAAGTTCATCTATCTATCTAATAAGGAATTACAATTACTAGTGTTCCTGCATCATTTTGAGACATGTCTGATTTCTGAGATATTACGTAAGTGAAAGAAGGCGGTCCTAGAAATTTGTTTTAAGTGAGAATCAAATTAGGATCAAAGATGACTCCCAAATTCCTGACTGTTTCATTGGAAGCAAGGGCAATGTCATCTAGCACAGCTATATCATTAGATAATGTATCTCTAAGATGTTTAGGGCCAATTATTAGAACCTCTGTTTTATCTGAGTTTAAAAGGAGAAAATTGTGGGTCATCCCTGAAACATGCTTGAAGTTTAGTTAATTGATTACACTGTTCTAGTTTTATTGATAGGTATAACTGGGTGTCATCCACATAGCAGTGGAAATGTACTTTCTTGATTCTTGTTGTTCTGGGTTTGTACCCTCATGGTTGATGCACTTCTTGTAAGTCACTTTCCATAAAAGCGTCAGCTAAATGAAACGTAATGTAATTTAATGTGAACATGTTCACGTGTTGAACATGTGAACTGAGTGTGAAGAACGAGAGAAAACTTTGAGAATTTCAAGTTTTGATTTTATTTTCACTTCATCACAACTTTGGTTCATCGCTGAATAGCTGATCGCTCTGACACTTTCCTATCAATCACATTATAAAACTTAACAACAAGAAACCAAGGTTTGACATCAGCTCTGAGTGAATCCAGTAAACAACTGTAGTTTAGAGATGTAGGGTGTAGTTTAACCATTTTAAAGTTTAACTACAGCCTTCAGCGTTCTGGAAACAAATGTTTGCCCAACTTCTATTTGAATAAGAATGAAATCAAATTCTTATTATCATATTAATAATTACAATTATATTAAATTATTATTCATCGTTGGTACAGATTGGTTTCTTTTAATACAAATAACATCATATAATTAGTCAACACAAATGTCCATCAAAAGATGAGGCTTCTGATCATAAACCAATCAGAATTGAACTAAGACTAACTAATGCCAACACCCACTGATTACTAGTCTATTATCACACACAGAAGTTAATACAAATGATTAAAATGTACGTCAGCGCAGATGAAAATGAATACGATGTAATGAAACGTTTTCAAGAAGAGGAACAGAACTGACACATATTTTCAACCTGATGAACTTTAGTCTCCTGATATGATTCTGAAGCTGAAAAGACGTGTGTCCTGTTGGCAGAGCAGCGGACACACAGGTGAGTTCACACAGTGCAGAGAAAAGAAGAGACATTAAACAAGAGGCCTCATCACACTATTGATTCTCTCAGGTTCTCATCTTGCTGTAGGTTGGGGGCGATGACTGTAGGAGCAGCGTGAAGAAGAAACTCACTCTGAAGCTCCACCTGAGTGAATGACTCAGAACCAGTCGAGTCCTGGTTGTCTCCGTACAGCTGACTGATCCGTTTAAACACAAGTCCTTTTGACTCCAGAGACAAATCCTTATCTTGATGCCCCCTCATCTTCTTGCGATATTTGTAGGATGCCACTTTGACTGTCCGCTGCAAGAGGTGTTTCCTGTACGCTCTCTGGATTACCATCGCTGCCACCTCTTCCTGCTTCCTCCTTAGGGTGCTGCTAATTGGTTCATACGACACCTGTCAGAAACAATTACTGTCTGTTAATTCAGCACCATTTGTTAAATAGTTGAAGCCCCTGAAGGTCATAGGTCAAACATCAACAAACCACTGACGCTGAACATGTCTCCTGGTACAAGAGGATCAGTAACCTGAACCTTCTGTTTTCAAGAAGAATCAAACATAATGTCAACAATATGCAGGTGACAGAATGTTTACCGTCTTTGACAGTTTGATGTTTTTACTTTTTATCATGTTGTTTCATTAGTTTTCCTGTGTTAATGCACTTCAACAGAAATATTTCAAGAAAGATCATTCACATCAACACACAAAGAGTATTAAAAACAAATGAAGACAGCTGAGTGAAATTGAATCACTTGATTTAATTGTTGAATTAAATTTCTGTTTATGTGTAAAATAAATGTATATTATATAATATGAAGGAAGATAAACTTGAGGTTGAGAAAATAGAAAAAACCTTGGATGGGTTGTTGGCCATGAATTTCTCCTCCATGTTTGCTTTGAGAGAATCCATCGCTCCTGAATCACCCAACACCTGGAACGAATAAAATAAAATAATATAAAATAATATAATATAATATAATATAATATAATATAATATAATATAATATAATATAATATAATATAATATAATATAATTTAATCTGTGCAGTGAGAGCGAGCAGGAGGTCCAGACAGTGAATCTTATCTCCAGGAACCAGAGGAAGATCCATGTGGATCAGTTTCGTGGTGTTTGGTTTGGGAATCCTCAGAGGATCCAGCAGAGCATCGCAGAAGTCCGACAGCTGACTGTAGGAACCAGAAAGGTCCATAAGAGAAGATTAGATGATTACACATTATTAGAGTCCATAAGCATCCATTACAGACAATTAGACATTATTAGATTTTTTGAACAACAGACCGGATCAGATTAGATTAGATTAGATCAAATTATAGGATCAATAATCCCCCAGATAAGAACCAGACTGTGATTGTTGTGCTGCAGGTTGGAGTCACCTGTTGGACTCACCTGTACTGAATAAACTGTGACGCGTTGGGGTCAAACTTCTCCCAGGTTTCATAAAACATCTCAAAGTCATCCTCACACAGCGGCTCGCTGCTCTCCTCTGTGGCCACGTTGAAGTTCTCTAAGATGATGGCAATATACATGTTGACCACCACGAGGAAGGACATGATGATGTAGGTAGTGAAAAAGACAATACCCACAGCTGGGCTGCCACAGTTTCCTCGGACCATGGATCCCGGGTTCTCCATGTCCGGGTCGCAGTCCGGTGGCGTGTTCATGATGGGACTCAGCAGACCATCCCATCCAGCTGAAGTTGTGATCGTAAACAAACAGATCATACTGTTCCCAAAGTTCTCAAAGTTAAACATGTCGTCTATCATGTTCTCCTTCTTCACGTAGGCAAAGTTTGACATCCCAAAGATGGAGAAGATGAACATGATGAGGAAGAGGAGGAGGCCGATGTTGAAGAGGGCAGGAAGTGACATCATCAGGGCGAAGAGCAGTGTCCTGATTCCTTTAGCTCCACGAATGAGACGAAGAATTCGACCTATACGAGCCAATCGGATGACACGAAAGAGCGTTGGCGAGACAAAGTACTTCTCTATGATGTCAGCGAGGAGAAGACCTGAAGGAGTGAGGGGAGAAAGGGATGAAAGAGTGAAAGGAGAAACGGGTGAACTTGAGAATGGAGGGATGAAAGAGAGAATGGAGGGAGGGACGAAGAGGACACATAGACTTTTTCTCAGTATTCTAAGAATAAGTTTTAGAGATTTTTTTTGTTTAATTTTTAAGATTTTTTAAGATCTAATCTCTGATTAAAAAAGAGTTTATTAAAGTAAAATTATTTTGTAACGTTATTGGATGATGAGATGAAAACATCAGCAGACGCTGACTCACCTACGATGGACAGGATGACGACCACAAAGTCAAAGATATTCCAGCCCACTGCGAAGTAGTGCTGCCTAAGTGCGATGATCTTCAGAGAGCACTCGGTGGTGAAGATGATGATGAAGAAGAAGTTGACCCAGTAGAGGATCATCTCTTTCTCTGTGCTCTGTTCATCTGTCTCCACCATCATGGTCACCATGTTGAGGCAGATGAGCACCATGATGAAGATGTCGAAAAACTGTTTTGTCACAAGGTCAAAGACCAAACCCTGGAACTTGTTCTACCAAGACATAGAATATACAACATTTCACTCCTGCTTTTACCTGAACTGTTCACACCTGTGTTCATGGTCTGAGTCCAATGAAATTGAAGTAGTTCAAACAGGAAGTAGCTGCCCTGACCTTGGGGCGTGGAACAGGTTTCTGAGGTTTCTTGGAGCCCAGTTTCTTCATGGCGTTATAATATTTCTTCTGCTCCTCCGTCATGAAAATATCTGTTCCTCCCAAGTAAAGAAACAAAAACATGAATTGACAGAAAAATAATGTTTGTCATTGAAACATCATGGAGACGAAGGTGCGTCTCATCGCCCAGCGTTCAAACTGTTATCAATCTTAAGACTTGAATTTTATTTCAGTGAGTAGAAACTTATCTTTGCTTTCTGCTGGTTGAAATTGTCAATGATGACTCCAATGAAGAGGTTGAGAGTGAAGAAGGAGCCAAAGATGATGAAACAGACAAAGTACAGGTACATGTACATGTTGTCCTCGTACATCGGCTGTAACTCCACCTACACAGAAGGTAACCATGACGACAAGGGCCAAGTCAGTTTTGTTTTTACGTTAACTTTTTACCAGTGCTAGTTTCATGACCACTGAACAAGGATCAATTAATAATATTTAATAACCAGATCAGTGCTTGTTCTAACCCTGTTTGCTGGGATTGTGGCCCTCAGAACCTGAAGTGAAGACCTGGGGCCTCATTTATAACTGTTCTATCTTTCATACTCCATTTTGTGTGTACACCACCTATCATGCAAATGTTGGGGTCTATAAAAAAACTTGATGTGAGAACGTGCGCACTTTTACACAAACTCTCACCCATATGAAAAATTTGGATATGGGAAAGTGGCTATTCAGATGTGAGGAGGTGAACTGAAGCAGATTATTGATCCACTTCATCATTTACATTAAAACCAACAGCTTTAGTTGTGCTCACGCGACACAACTGTTCCATAAGAGCCTTTAATTGAAAAAAATTTAAAGCAACATACAGCAAATTATGTTCAGATAATAATAAACAGCAGAGTTAATGAGTCATTAATAGTTTTGATAATATCTTCTAACACTGTGCATGTATCATTAAGGACGAGTTCGTGTAAAATCGCTGCAGTGAACGTGACTGTGCCATCAGGCACACAGAGCGCACCGATGATCACTCACTAAAATAAAGAAAAACTATTCACTTTCAAACTTCAACTTAATTTTCAAATAATCTCCCAGAGTGGAGGTTACGATCCACAGTGTGAAGTCATCGGTCTGATGGCTCTAAATATATAAATACTGTGGTGACACTCGTGCATGACGATGCGTGATGGATGCGCGCGAATGGAAGGATGAGGAGGAAATGAAGGTTCAGTGACGACTAATCAGCTGATATAGATTCTATAGATCTGTGATCTTTGTGCTGAACTGAGTCCAGTATTAGATCTCTCTTCACCTCCAGCTCACTAACAAACACCTCGATGTCAGTGTCTTGTCATCACTTGATGCCGTGACTATGTCATGAGTCAATGTGGACACCCATTGGTCAGCGGGATAATTTAATATTCATGAGCTGCTTTGCATTGACCATTTATATGGGTACAAAGACCTTTACAAAAAATAAACCAACATTATAATAATAATAATAATAATAATAATAATAATAATCATGATAATAATAATAATCATGATAATAATAATCATGATAACATTGTTAAAAATAGGGTTTAGCTGCTGCAAATGAAGAATAGAGGAAGAAAAAGAAGAAGAGCGAGGATCAGATCTTTAAGTACAGAGAGCTGATGAGAGGTATGTAAGAATGTGGGCGTGTAGGGGGTGGGATATGAGGCGGCTCCTACGAATGTTTCCAGGTGCACTGTGATTTATAAAGTGAACATTGTGTTCAGGTGTGCATGTTCAATTTTGCAACTTTTGTGCGCACCTACACTTTTAGTATGAATCCCATGCTCTGTTTTACAAATGAGGCCCCTGGACTCAGTCCTCAGAACCTGACATAAAGAAGTAACTTTTCTTAAAGAGATCAGTCAATGGGGCTGTAACTGCTGCAAAATATGGCACGAAGCGACAATGGAAACCATGCAATTCCAAAAGTTGCATGAGCTGTGTGCCGGCACATGGGATTGGAAAATCCATAGCTTGTATTTTAACCACTCTTGTAAGCACAGACCCACAGCCCAGCTGATGCCACTCACTGTACCCTTGTCAAAGTCACCATTGGCCAAGTTAATGACTAGCCATGCCTGCTTGAGGGATTAAAATAACTCCCTTATCTGTCCGATGTGTAATTCCCACGTTTTACTGAAAGTCACCACATCATTAATGTAGGTGACAGAGCTTCAGATTTCATTAAACGCTGGACTTTAAACCTTACTGTGGTTTCAGTTTGTTACTGGGATGTTCAGTGTGGTTTGAATCTCCCTCAGGGAGTTGGTAGTTTTAATTTCCATTGATCGTTGTTACGTCATTTTGTTCTCAACTAATTCTACAATGTTCATCAGTAAAGATTTTATACTTGGATCATTCATTAAAATCTGATTTGTGATTTAAGTGTCCCCTTCATTTTTTTGAGCAGTGTATGTTAGTTTATACTAACTTCTCTGGAGTCCACTGCTGCGTACATGATGGCCATCCAACCTTTAAATGTGGCCTGAAAAAGACAAATTCATTCTGATCAATTTATTAATTGATTATCTGACATCAATTATTGATGATCTGAGTTCAACTATTGATAACCTGGGTTTAAGTTTTGATTATTTAAGTCTAAATATTGATGATCTGAGTTTGATTATTGATTATTCAAAGTTATTTATTTTTCATTCAAGGAACTCAGTGTTTATATGACATCATGTGTTGGCTGACCACTTGCAGCAGCGACAAGTAGCCCATTCCCACATTGTCGAAGTTGATCTTTGAGTTCTTCCAGCGAGCTTCGTTGAAGTTTGAGTTGATCAGTGCCAGACACTCAGTCTTGTTATTGACGTCATCAGAATGAAATATTTCTTCTGCTGTCTCGTTGAAACAGAAATAAAACTTTCCTGCAAACAGATTTACTCCCATGATGCTGAAGATTAACCAGAAGATCAAACATACGAGAAGAACATTAAAGATTGACGGTATCGCTCCGACCAGAGCATTCACCACCACCTACAGACAGAGAGACAGAGAGATAGACGGGTAAATACACAAAAATCACCATGCTGGACACAATGATACATTTATTTATATAAAACATTTTAAAAACACGTTTTAACATGAAGAATAAAATTAAATGAAAAATGTAAAACATTATTATAACAAATTCAAAATAATAAAAAAAAAGAGATAGAATTACTGCACTGTGCTTGTAAGCCTCCGTCAACCAGTGCAGTTTTTGTGTACATATTTCTACATACTTTTACTTCATATAAAGGTCACTATAACCTTTGACAACTGAAACACAATAAGGAGGTCATTGTGACCTTGACCCTCAAGTGACTGTTTATACCAAATGTGAAAGAATTCCCCCAAGTTAGGGGGGGTTAGGGTTATTCCTGATATAATGAGTTCAAAACCATGCAAGGCCATGTGGCCTTGACCTTTTTAGCTTTGCCCACCAAATCTAATCAGTTCATCCTGAAGTCCAAGTAAATATTTGTACCACATTTGAGGATATTCCATTTTGGTATTCTTGAGATATCGCGTCCACGCAAATGGGATGGACGGAAAACACACAAAAAAAAAACAGTTTACGAGAGTAAATCTGAACCAGAGGATGTTTGAAACAGTTTTATCGACAGGCATTGTAGCTAAATGATTTGTGATGATAACAGTAAGCAGAGCAGCAGGTCACCCTCTGATGCATGTGTGTGTCTTTATGTCAAGGTTTAAAATGTCTGTCTCACCCTCATTCCCTCAAAGCGGGACAGGGCCCTCAGGGGTCTCAGAGCTCTAAGAGTCCTTAGAGACTTAATGGCTCCCAAGTGCGAGTATCCCAGGATGTTTGCTGTCAGTGACACCAGAGACACCTGCAAGATATAACACACCTGGTGACATACGGCAGGTGACCACCTGATGATTTTATCAATACGTTTATTGATCCTGTTCTTACATCTACGATTATGAAGTCCAGCCAGCACCATGCGTTAGTGAAGTAGGTCTTGAATCCATATGCGATCCACTTGAGAAGCATCTCGATTACAAACACGTAGGTGAAGACTTGGTCTGCGTATTCCAGAACCATCTTTATCACCCGACGCTGCTCCAAGTAGATATCCTCGAATGCCTGTTCACAACAAGATCATGGTTATCACCCAGATTAGTGATCAATAACGATTCTTAATTCTCAGTGTCAGGGTTAGGTAACAAAGATCACTGATTATCGTTCAACTAAAAAACAAATGGTTTGATGTAATCTGATTGCATGAATCTTTTCACTTAATACTACATGTTATTTCCTGTTTTATTTGTCATTGCATTCCTCATGTGTGTTGCTGTTTTACTTCCTGCTCTTGTTAGTTTGTATGGTTGAGTTTCTTTTGTTCTCTGAGCTTCTGGTTTTTATTTCGTCACTGTCTTCGACTTTCTGTTTAAGTTCCTCAATTTTCTTTGTCATTGCTTCTTCCAGCCTTTCATTGTTGACATTAAAGTATCTTCACTGCAGCTACCTGCATTCGTGTGTCCCGTAAACTTCTAATCGTGTCAGTACAAACTGAGTAGATGTATTATTGGAGGCTAATTTTCGTATCAAGGGGTAGGAACACCATGTCAAAGACTGTCACAGAGACATTGATCCTCCATACATCCCAGCTGTCAGGGTCCAAGCTTAATTTTCTGATGTTAAGGGGCCCCATTAAATGTTTCATCTGTTCCTGAATCCATGGACCCAGCTACTGTCATCTGCAAGTTTAATCCTGAAACCCCTTTGATGGTCCAGATGACTCCTGCTTCTGCTTCTTGGTTGGTGGTTTAGAATTGCAAAACAACTCAAGTTACCGGCTCCTGATCTCCAGTCAGTGATCCAACAAACATCTGCTTCTGGTTTCTAGTACAAACCAGCAGACAGACTTGCAGCCAGGGATGGAACCACCAACCCCTCATGACCCACAGTCATCTCAATCTACCTGCCTCCTCTGACCTCCAGCCAACCCTCAGTCTTATCAGTCTCCAGGTTGACCTGAAGAGATGTTCTACTTGTCTGGTTTTCTTACTCCACAACCTTCTGCTCATCCTCCCAACCGGCTATGACTATTTCACCAGCCTCCTTCTCACACTGGAACACACATGCAATGTTATCCCTCCGGAGGAGACTTGTTCCAAACTGCAGAGGCTCCGCCCTCATCGTCTGCCCCCCTTTTCCTTGTGATTTTATTTTCTTTGTCAGTAGAAGATCTGATGCTTGAAAAACTTTGAATAAAGTTTTCAGCGGTGCATGTGTTTTCCACCTGGTGAAGGGCTTTTGGTTGAGCTGTGAACAATGATGTTTGATGACTGAATTCATCAGCAGTGACAAAGTAAAGTGAGAACTTAAATGAGAATTATCCAGAATTTAATGTTGTTATTCTTGGTCTTTTTTTGTTTTGATGTGTTTTATTAAGTTTGTGTTCTTACATCTTCGTTGTCATATTTTGGTTTATTGAAGATTTATGAATTTTATTTCAGAGTTGAAAAGTTAAATATCATCTCACCTCGGTAAAGCATGGCAGCCATGTTAGTAGTCAGTTTGTAGTCCACTGTTAGCTATGGTAGCCATGTTGTCTTCATAAGTTAGTAATCACACTGCACACATTCCTGAAAACCAGGTCAGTCACATGACCAGATTAAACAGACCAACCAGCACCAGGAGAAGTTAAGAGTATTTAAAAAATATATATTCTAACATTCTTCTGAACAAATACAATAAAACAAATGCATTAATTCACACAATCAATTAAAACTGATCATGTTTGGTCAGTGATCGATAATCATATTTACCAGAGCGCCACTGCTCAGCAGAATCATGAAGATGATGAATGTCTCAAAGTAGTTGTGTTCTACGATGGAGAAACATGTTCTCCTGAAGTTAGACCAGACCCTCCCTCTGCCCTGGGACGTGTCTATGTCCAGGAATGGACATCTAAGATAACACTCTGAAACATAAAAACACATGATTTATCTGAATCAGTCAATCACAAGACTTGAGTGTGTGTGTGTGTGTGTGTGTTTGTGTTCATACTGTCGGTACAACAGTCCTCAGGTGCGCTTGACTCATGATCTTCATGATCTTCATCCTCTCTGATGTCAGGAAGTGTCTGTATTGTGCTGCAGAACGACGACTCGTCACACTGAACAAACACATTAAATAGATGTTATACCCAATCTAATAATAACTACAATATATACTACTACTACTACTACTAATAATAATAATAATAATCATAATCATTATTATGTCAAAATAAAATTGCAACTCCTGCTCTCAAATTTGTCCCATGGCTAAGAACATGCTGTCCTCCCCACCATAATATTCATTATGACGTATAA